ATAGAGATTTGGATCAGGAAACTCCTAATTAGATTAGGAGGGCTGATCTTTATTTGTAGATAAGATAAGGGATTATCCTTATCTCTTAAAGAGAATCCAGATCCAAATACAAGATTTGGATTATGAAACTTCTAATGGGATTAGGAGAACCTCTCTTTAAGGCTATAAATAGGAGAGCAGGGCGAACCCTCAGAATAGAACACAACATAAATCATCTCACAGACTGCTGAATTCCAGAGAAAGACAACACAGTTTGACTGCACTGTCTCCTTCTCTCCTCCTCTTGCCGCCATACCAGTTCGATCTCCACCTGTGGGAGCGATCAAGAAGGGTTCTTGATATTACCTTTTGGTAGAAAAGGTAATCTGAAGTCGTGCTCACTTGCCCTCCATCAAATTCTTGCTGAAGAACCATCCTGCTGATTCTGCTTCATCCTGCACCGTGTCATCTTCGGTGGAAGTAGTCTTTGGATTTTCCTTGGGCATGAACACCTTCATTAGAGGTTATTGTTACTTCGTATCAAGTATATCCCTCCACTCCCTTTTGGTTTCAGATCTGGTCTGGTTTGGGTTCAAGATTGATCCTTGAAAATGAAGTTTTCTAAAATAGGGAATGTGATTCACACATGGGAGAGAGAAATTTTTGAAAATTTGCCCAACCTACCTGTAGGGTTCGACCATCCATATGATGGATCTCTCATCCCTTCATACCAATCTGGAGCTGCGTACATTGTAGATTTTAGATTCTGGTTGGTAGGAGAAGGTGAGGATGACAAAGGCCCAGTTGAGACCGAGGGCTGTCCAACCGACAAAGCGATGGATCCTTTCGAAGACGTTATGGTGGAGATGGCAGACAAGGGGGAATGCAGCCAAGCATGAAAGGCGAAGAAGAGCAAGGATGGTGGAAGCCACGCCTATGATCTCCGGTGATGTGTTTTCTCTGTCTTTAAGAGTGAGCACAAGAGCGTATACGAGCCAGGCCACCGAAGATACACTACAACTGCTGTGAATTCCACCAAGACATTGGAGGAAGGATGTGGTGGCAGTCCTGAACGGTATAGGTACCCATGATCTCCCTAATAGCTTCACAGCTAGCCAGAAAACCACACGCAGAAAGGCCTCGGTCCGGCAAAGAATCAAAGCCAGTATGTTCCCAATGGCGAAGAGTGCGGCCTTGTGCCTTGCATAGGGGAAATGCCCAGTGGCTCCAAGGACCAAACCGATCACATTTAGAGCCAAGCACACGGTGAAGAGTCGCTTGTAGATTGTGAACAAGCCTTGATCAAGTGGTATAATTGACAGTCTCAATTCCTGCTTACGTGTGCAGCCTTGGGTGGTAGTGGTTGTTCAGGTTTACTGTTGGATGAAATGGGAACAGGCTTCTGCTTCTCCAAATCCTCTTTGCTTCCTTCTACAACCACCTCTACTTTTCTGTCATCATCATGGTGATCCTCAAGATCGAGATCACAGAAATGGCTGCTGGTTTGACTCATGGACCTTTGAAGCATATTGGGCGTTGGAAAAACTCTGAAAGAGTTGTCGTGGTTCCAAGGAAGCTGATGTTGCATGATGTGACTACTCCCAGCTAGAGGGTGACCTGGCTTCCAATCGAGCAGCGAGCTGGATCAATCTGCAAGACGAGGGATCAGAGAGCCTGGGGTGGTTAACCCGGTGAGGTCGCTCCGATGCTTAAGTTAGTATATAAGAGCTGAATGCTTTGAGAATTCGAGAGCTTGAGATCTAGAGAGTAGAGTAATCACGCGTACTTGGGCCCTGGAGGGGTTGTTGCTCTTATATAGCTGAGTTGCTGTGGGTTTCGCAAAACGGTTCCAGGATCTTCTGCCTAAGTGGATGAGATCCATTTCCGCTTTAGTCAGGGAGTAACATATCAGTCAATGAAGTCTATCGTTTCCGCCCGATCCGGGCGTGGAGAGGATAAGGCCTTCCGTTATGCGACGTGATCCCGTGAGGTTTGGAGTCTACTGGAGAAACTTTCGGAGTCGTTATGTGGCGATTCGGGTTGCTAGCCCCGAGCTGATACTTCAGTCCTTTAGCTCCGAACTGGATTGAATGCCGAGGTGCCCTGACGCCGAGGTGAGTCTATGACAAGGTGACCGAACACCCGAGCTTAAACGTTGCGAACTAGGCTTGCCAGGTTGAGCTGTCATCCCTTAGTGAGGTCATCTCTACATGTCCCCTTCTCGCTAGGTCGCGCCAAATCACCCTTTATCAATTGCCCCCCACTCCTCGTGCCAAGGGTCCCAACCTAGTGCAAGGAGTTCATGAAGGATCTAAGTGGATTTGGCGCGGGGTCTGAACAATCTAAAGAGTGCACCGTTGGTTGGGCCTGTTCAACCATATGACTCAACCACAAAATGACCTAGATCGCATCCCGAGTACATGCGGACGTCACACTATTTATAGACTCCGCGGATGTGAAAGAGCGCGCTCAATCGATTTAGTCCTCGGGTGTCGTACAACCAGTTTTCATGAGAGCCATTGGATCGAGCAGGTCTCATCCGTTGATCGCCATGTGGTGAACTATAAATAGGGGGCCGAGGGGCCCCTCTTCTTTGCCAAAAAATCTTGTGATTGAGCTCTCTCGAGGTTGCGTCGGAGTCTTTCAGCTCGCCACTTCTTCCCTTGTGTTCCGAGGTTGTTTTCATCTTTTTGGTGAGTTCATATTCTCTTTGGTAGTTTGTTCTCCTTTCCTTTTCCTGTTCCAGTATGTCTAGTGCTAGTATAGATAGACTTCTTAGTGATTCTAGTGAGCCTGAGGGTGCCGAGGTGCAGTCCTCGGCTCCCGCTGGTGAGGTTAGCTCCTCGCTAGGCAATTCCTCCCCTCACCTCTTAGGAGAAACTCCTTTACCCGAAGTTGGGCTATCTCGGCCTGAGGAGCCTGAAGCTCGGGAGGAGGGACTGACCTCCAGAGAGGAGGTCCCGTCTTCTTCCCGAGGTCGGGATCTAGATGACTTCGGCCCTTCCACTATGACCTCGGACAGGTTACTGTCCTTGGTAGCCCGCTATCGTCTTCCCGATAACCTTGTTTTTAGTATTCCTTTGGGTCAGTACCCTTGGGTTCATGGTCACCATGAGCTCGCGATTTTCGAAGAGCAGCATAGCTGGGCTGCGCTTCCCGCTCCACCCATTCATTGTAGAAATTATTAAGTTCTTTGATATCACCATTGACCAATTACACCCAAACTCCATCCAAACTATAGTTGGTACAATCTCCCTATTCCATGAGTATAACTGACCTCTGTCCTTAGATATTTTTAACTCAATCTGTTCGATCAAGAAGAACTCCACTTGCCTGCGTAGGGATATCCGATAGAGTTACTACATCTCTCCTCACCCTGGGTTCAAAATCCTGTTCAGCAGCCCGAACAAAGTACCGACCTAGAAGAGGAGGTACTTTTTTGTCCGAAACCCTGAGGGGTGGCCCTTCCCGACTCACTAGCGGGTGGCCATTAAAGACCCCGGGGTGAGGCTAGATGCGGAGACCAGGGCGGTCGTTAACTCTTGGAGGGACCTCGGCCTAGAGATGAAAGATTTCTTGGCTGAGGAGAAGCTTGTGCGAGCTGGATTGAGTCCTCCTGGTAGGTCTCCACCTCGACACTCATATTACTCTTTTTTATTTTAAAGTTACTTCAGTTCGTGACTAACCCCTTCTTTTTTTCTTTTGTAGTAGCTGTGCCGGAGGTCGATGTAGAAAACCTTCTAAGGAGCTTCCAAAGACGGAAAAAGAAGAAGCCTCAAAGATGTCTCATCGGGAGGCCGATCCTTCTGCCCCCGTCCCACCCGAGGTCGCTATGCTGGAGCTGATATCAGCTGAGCTTCCGGAGGAGGAGGTCCGTCCCCAACCTCCTATTGTGGACCTAGACGAAGGAGCTCCGCCTCGTGAGCCGGAGAGTACTTTTGTGCCCGAACCTCAGCTCTCGAAGGAGAGCATAATGACACCTCGGCCCGGGCTCCTCAAAAGCAAGGATGTCATTTTCCCTGCCGAAGTCGTAGAGTGGACTGACATGCCCATAAGTTAGCTCGGAGGTAGGGTTGCTAGTTACTGTATGGTGGTGAGTACTTCGCCTTTATACTCTATTTCCTTGTTCATTTGTTAAAGATACTTACATCTGCTTTCTATTTTCCAAGTGAACTCCGCCATTCATTCGCTAGTCTACTAGTTCGAGGTCCGCATAAAGCGAGCTTGGGAGGCCGAGGAGAACACTCAAAAACTTTACCGCGAGCTGGACTTAGCTCGGGGTGAGGTTCTTCGAGCTAAGAAAGGAGCCCGGAGCCGACAGGAGTTGATCATGGTGCTAACGGAGGAGAAGGAAAAACTCAAACGCGAGAACGAGAACCTCAATGCAATGATCAAAGAGCGCACTGAGATCTTCAAGACCGCCATCCAGGAGGCGCGCGCTAAGGAGAGAGATCGCGTCATTGAAGGTTTCAAAGAGTCTCTAGAGTTCCACAATCTCCAGGTCGAGTACGGATCAATATCTTATCGGTCTGGTTTCAAACTATGCAAATGGCTGATGCGGCAGAAGTTTCCCAAACTCAACCTTGGGACTGTTTCCATGTCTAACCTTACTCCCGAGATGGAAAAAGTGGCTAACGAAGAACCCAGCTCCTCAGAAGAGGAAAGCAGCGATGAAGTCCCCGAGGCGGGCCCGTCAGGCCGAGAGGACGCGGAGGATGATCGCATGTAGACTGACTTGCCCGACAGTTCGGACGCATAATTCTTGCATCTTTTCTTAGATCTCTTGTGATGTACATCCTGGGCCTCTGAGCTCGGTTCATAGTAATAGTTTCTTCTTCTTTTGTACTCAAAACTTCACATTATTGAAAAACGAGTATTTTGGCAATCTTTGTGTAAAAAATTTCATTTTTTCTTCTAAGTGTAAATAACTCCCGAACTGGCGAACTAAACCAAATAGGAGTAGATTTTCTTCTAAGTGTCAGTTACCCCGAATTGTCGAGCTAACGAGCTGGACTACGAGTAGGGATAACTTCGCATCGTTGTACGCCGAGGTGGGCGGACACTGTAGGGTATATACCCGACTTGTCTGCACACGGGCTACTTGTTTTAGGTGTTGGTTATCCCTTAGTGTTGAGCCATCGGGCTTGACTTCAAATGGGATTAACTCGTTCTTATGTGTCGAGGTGGGCTAGACATCATAGGGTTTGTACCTGAATTTTCTATGCCTCAGGCGTGAGAACTGGTTTGCCTATGCCGAAGAGGCGACTAGGACTTGTCTGCCTATGCCGAAGAGGCAAATAGGAGTTGTCTGCCTATGCCGAAGAGGCGATTAGGACTTATCTGCCTATGCCGAGGAGGCAACTAGGATTTATCATAGTGTCGAGGTCTTATGTCAGCTCGACATCATGACCCTTAGGCTTCTGGGAGTGACTCGCAGTCCTCTCTCCAGCTCAGTAATCCCTTTTGACCAGTTCAGTGGTCACGAGTAGTACCTTCTTAGGTTGTCGATATTCCACGCTCGAGGTACTCGCTTCCCTTCCAAAGTCTCGAGCTCGTATGTGCCTTCCCCAAACACCTGTCTTACTCGGTACGAACCTTCCCAATTCGGTCCGAGCTTACCAACGCCGGGCTCAAGCACCATAACCTTCCAAAGAACTAGGTCATAGATGCGGAAGTGTCGTTTTCTGACTCGAGCGTTATAGTACCGAGCTACTCTCTGTTGGTAAGCTACAGTCCGGATGTAAGCCAGGTCTCGTACCTCTTCTACCAGGTCTAGGTTGGTACGGAGCTCATCATCATTTGTCTCCTCATCAAAAGCCTCAAAGCGTAGTGTGGGCACCTCGATTTTTGCTGGGATCACCGCTTCTGTGCCGTAAGTGAGGTTGAAAGGAGTCTCACCTATGGTGGTCTTAATGGTAGTCCGGTAGGCCCAGAGGAGTCTCGCTCGAGCTAAGCGAGCTTTCAGTCCGCGAAGTATTGGTCTATTAGTGACTTCCGCTTGCCCGTTTGCCTGGGGGTGTGCCACCGAGGTGAAATTTTGTTGAATTCCCATTTCGGCACACCAATTTTGAAACTTGATATCCTCAAACTGCTTCTCGTTGTCGGAGATAAGTACTCGAGGTAGCCCGAAGTGACATACTATGTTCTTCCAAAAGAAATTTTGTATGTTGCGGGCTGTGATTGTTGCCAAAGGTTCAACTTCCACCCACTTCGTAAAGTAGTCTACTACTACGACCAGAAACTTCCTCTGTCCTATCGCTGGCGGGAATGGGCTGAGGATGCCGATTCCCCACTGCGTGAAGGGCCATGGGCTAGTGAGGTATTTTAGATCGGCAATAGGTCGATGGTGGATGTTGGCGTGCCTTTGACACCTGTCGCACCTCTTGACGAGTTTGAGTGCATTCGCCTTCATCGTGGGCCAGTAATAGCCTTGCCGCAACGCCTTTTGTGCGAGAGCCCTGCCTCCCAAGTGTCCACCGCACAAGCCTTCATGGATGTCGTGGAGTACGTACT